TACCAGATGTGGCCCGGATCTGGTACATGTGGTCAGCACTGCAAATTCGTGCAATCAACTTGAATACGAGTAAAATCAGTAGGTAACTTTTTCAACCTTAATGCAAATTCTTATTGGAATGACGTGAAATTTTGCAGAGCGACGATATGTGAGCGCACCTTTAGTGTGTAACACTGCGTGATTGGCGTCACCGAACAGAATAGAAAAAATTGTGACTTGTTTCCCACATAATAACATATCCAGATAAACAGTATGATCCATATTCACGCTAATGTGCCCCACAGGTACTGTTCATCATCTTATCTGACCTCTGGTTAGTGACCCAAGAGATCACAGTTTATGGTCATTAAACAAAAGCCCAATAATGTAAGGTTTGCAGGACATCACACCCAATCAGCAACATAGTGTCGGCCTAGATCCGGGCCACATCTGGCATGTGGATTCCATGAGTACCAGATGTGGGTCAGATCTGGGCCGACACTATGTTGCTGTCTGAGCATCTATCAATCAAGAAATAACCATTCCAGAATATAGTGTGTTTTGCACTGATCTGCATATCTGTTATTTATTGCCCTGTCCTCTGCGGGGACAAGTAAACTTACTACAGTATTTATGAAACAAAGATGTTTGGCTCATTAAATGAGTATGTCTTGTCATTTTCCATAAATGGTTAAAGGAATAGGTGGAAATATGAATATTCTGTCATCTTTTAGACACCTTTTGGGTTGTGTTATCAAACTGTATGACTTAATTTCTTCTGTGAAACTCAGGAGGAAAAGTATTTTCCATATAATGAAACTAATCAAGATCAAGCACCACAAAAACAACAAAAAAAGCAACATAAATGTATCATAAACCTGTTTCATATGACTTATGCTGTATAATCCAGGTTGCCTGAAGCCGTAGAAGATTGCTTTGTGTGAGAAAAAGGATGGAATTTCATTCATTATATGAAAATGTCCTATGTTTCTTTGAATTTGTTTACAAATAGAAAAATACACTTTCGGACATGTCAAAATGTCACTTTTGGTTGAAAGAAATTCATACAGGTTTACAAGGATGAGTACATTTTGTCAGGTTTTTTTCATATTTTTGGGTAAACTATTTCATTTAAATGTTGTATTTTGATATTGCAAACATATGTGTCATATATTGTGTTTTTATAAATGTTGCTCATATTGTAGATACTGTAGATATATTACAATAGTGTTTATTCCCACTCATTAATTTATTAACTGTTAATAAAAAAGGTACAGCGCTGTCACTGAGGCAGTACCCTATACAAAAGCAAAATTGTACTAATATGTACCATTTAGGGGTAAGTAAGATACAAATATGTACCTTTTCACTTTTGTACCTATAGGTCAGTATACTGCCTCAGTGACAGCGCTATACTTTTTTTCTGAGGGTGTACAATAAAGCAGTTTTAGGTCTGAAGCCATCTTAAAGGTTTAGTTCACCCAAAATGAAAATTCTGTCAGTATTTACTCACCCTCATGTTGTTCCAAACCTCTATGTGTTTATTTGTTCTGCTGAACACAAAGGAAGATATTTGGAAGAATGTTTTAATCAAACAGATCTCATTCCCCATTGACTTCCATAGTAGGAAAAAATACATATGGTAGTCAATGGGGAATGAGATCTGTTTGATTAAAACATTCTTCCAAATATCTTCCTTTGTGTTCAGCATGACAAATAAACACATAGAGGTTTGGAACAACATGAGGGTGAGTAAATACTGACAGAATTTTAATTTTTGGTTGAACTAACCCTTTAAAATGCCCACTTTAAATCCAATCAAGACATTATAATCATTATACACTTAGTAATTTTCCATATGAGAAAGAAATGTGATAAGCAAACACAAGACGACGTACATGGTTGCATATTGTTCTGATCTGAGACCTTTCTTGCAGCTGTAGGTTATTTTGCATGACTAAGTTCAACCCTTTCACAGCCCGTCCAGTGAAGCAGAACAAGATGGTTGACCTTTTTAACCCCTGTGTGCAAAGTGCAGTTGACTGGATGAGGCTTTAAAAGGGGCTTCGACGTGGGAACACAACTAGTGAAGACACCACTGTACAAACACACCGTCGATCCGAGAAGCTCAAGCTCTGAACAAAGCCCGCTGAGCTTCTGTGCACGTACCCATGCAGCAACAGCTACAATTTCAATTTGTTAGAATTGTCCAGAATCGATTAAATGACTGTAGTTTGTTATCAGATCAGATATCGTGCAGCACTTGCCAGTGTGTGCTTAAAGAGAACAGATTCAGATTCATTTAGATAGACGAGCTCATTCTAAATGTTGAGTAAAATGTGATTCTTGATGTTTTCACTGACACACCTGCCGACTGTAAATAAAATGTGTTTTAATTTGAGTTTCTGATGGAAGAGAGAGTGCATGAAATCCGTCTTTGACTTAACAAACGATAGCACTGCTCTATCTAAATGTGTTTTGAGTGTCTTTAATGACTAATGGTTTAATGAAATGTAGTCTTCTTGGCTAAAAGGTACATTAAAAGCTTTGATTTTAGTCTGTTAAATTTCAGAGGAAAGTTTTTAACTGTTTGGTCTGGGGACTCACTTGTTATCTGGAGCTTTGTTTACGAACTCTTCTCTTGTCCTTTTAGTGCACTTGTGTTTCTCAGCACCCAGTGTTGCATCCTGTTTCTCTCTCTCTCTCTATCGTGAGAGGGTGCCTCTGGCCCTGCAGATGTTATCAGATGTTGTCTCTTTGAAAAAAGTCTCCCGCTGCATCACAAACACAGATGCCTGAGAAGAAAGCACATCTATCGTTAAAGCCTGAACATGAGCAGACGGCTGACAGCGCAAGAAAGAGTATCTATAATATTTGAGACAATAAATCACCTGCTCTGTTTCAGGTCAGCTTTAGATTTGTTGCGTCTCAAGCAGCTGCAGATCACGGTTTTGTGTATCTTTTTCTACTTTATCTACATTATCTGGTCAGATAAAAAATGGAATGACATTCGCAACCCTGTGGGGGAAAAAAAAGGTGTAGGATTTACTTTGAAACTATTTACACTTAGTAAATTTCACAAATAATTTAAAAGTAACAAATGTAATAAAATGTGAAATTCTGTAGAAAGACTAAAATAGCATTTATTCACAACTTCAAAATAATTTTACAGTGTTAAAATATGTGGTTGGATTTTTTTTACTTTGGGAATTGACTGGATTGTGAAAAGCGGGAGTTTTATGCCAGAGTTTGCAGTCAAAGGGGTCAAATTTGTCTGGTTAGTGTACATATAAAAGTAGCAGTGTATTCTGATTAAATAAATTGGCTCAAAAATATCTGTGTTCCCATAAGCATGGCAGATGGCTTCCTGTTTCATCAGTCCATTAAAATCCATGAAATCATTTCATATATTAAATATGAATATGATCTGTATCACTAAACGTGTTTCTGTATGATGTGAACTACAAAATATCCCCACAAAATAGCATGTGGCCCTTGCATGATGAATTTCCCTTAAAGGAGTTGCTTTGTTGTTCATGTTTTCTATTGTTATGCACAAGCTGTCCTTTGGTTGTGTATTGAATATGTGCACTGATAAACTGTTGTTGCATTTTGATCGGAAATAAATGGATATGAGGATCTATTGATGTGTCCATTAAAAAATAAATGCACTGAAGTGCTCTGAAATAAAAGCCAGAAGCTCTGTTGCATTTCAGTGTTAAAACCTTCAGATAATGTGATGCATTGTTTCTTTGAATTTCTACTTCTTCTTTTTTCCCCTTTGCTGTCAATCTAAGAAAACACTTAACGCGATAACTACAATATCCTGTGTTGTGTGAGCAGAACACATTCAGGGAAAGACAGGAAAAGAAACAATGAGTCTGCTAGCTTTCTACTTCGAGTATAGCATAATTGTAATCTTAAAGAAATAGACAAAGTCCTCCATGTGGTTATAGCCTACTTTGAGTACACAATAGCACCAGAAGTAGGCTAGATAAGGGTTTAAATCTAAGACGTATTGGGAGAGTGAAAGAGGATCGTGATGTGACCTTGAGCAAGGCTTTTGACCCCAAGGTTAGGCTACTTGCATGCTGTCCTGACGCTGCTTGAATAAAAAGTATGCGAATTCCATAATAAAAAATGTTGCACAGAGATATGGCAAATATCAAATAAATCGATAAGATTAATCCGAAGAAAATGTGAGTAATAGTCAAGCACGCACGGGATAAATGATAATGATTAATTATTTTCCACTAGATGGCGTTGTGCTCACACATTTAGAAATATAACTAATTCCCACAGGATAAAGTTGTGAACCTGTTACTTTTCTGCTTGTAAATGTGTAATGTAGATAACATTAATATATGTATATGTAATATATCACTATCGATGTTACGCAGAAGAGTTTTGAACACATAAGAGATTGAGCATATCTATTTAAGACATAATTTGACGTCAATTTCCCCCTATTCTGATTAAAGTTCAGATCGTCCCTTCATCTGTGTTCAGGTCCAGAAGAAACCAAAGAAAAAGAAACAAAGTCATTGTTGGATTTACCTGAGTAGGCTACTGTTATGGTACAAAGCTGCAGCATTGAGGCCTCAAATTACCAGAGTCTGCTAGATGGATGGGTGGATGGATGGATGGATGGATGGATGGATGGATGGATGGATGGATTGATGGATGGATGGATGGATGGATGGATGGATGGATAGATAGATAGATAGATAGATAGATAGATAGATAGATAGATAGATAGATAGATAGATAGATAGATAGATAGATAGATAGATAGATAGATAGATAGATAGATAGATAGATAGATAGATAGATAGATAGATATAGATGGATGGATTGATGTATTCTATTAAATAATGTAGCTTACAAAGTACTCTCCACCATAGAGTGCTCAGTCACTCAGTCACTCTACGATACCTCTTTCCCCCCCTCCGTTTTTCCAGGTAGTGAAAACAGGCGCGTTCCCGACGGTGAGTGCTGGGAGCTCGAGAGGGACGCGCGAGATTGAGTTGTGTGCGCGCGCCCGCGCATGTGAAACTGAGAGTTTTGAGTCACATCAGTAGCGGCTGAAAGCTATCTAAACTCGTCGAGTGTTTGCCCTCGACTATCCTTGAAGCTTTTTGAAGGTTTGTTTGTCTGGAATACAAAGGGAACATTGTCTTTTCAGGGTTTAATACCTTACCGCTCTCTAGCACATTGGCGTCGCGATGTCTTATTTATTTTCATGCACTTGCTTAAACTGGTAAATTGTGCTCATTTTGCCTACCAAGGAGAGTCAGAGAAACGACATAGAATCTACGTCTGACTGCCAAAGGTGAGTTCATTTAACTATTTTCTTGTGCATGTTTGTGATATTGTAAACAGATTTCCACTTTTACAATATGTTTAGGTTTTTGTGATTTATATTATTGTGGTTTATTGGCATTAATTAGAAATGTGTTTTTGGCGTCTATCAGTTTCATTGAGTCTACGAATATTTTGCGTTTATAAATGTGTTGGTAAAAATATTATGTAAAAGACGGTTTGTTTTGGGGGTTGTTTTGCAAATGTTTTACTACCGTGTTAAGGATGTGAATCAAACCAGAGAATCATTATTTCTTAAATACTCCCGTTATATCTATTTTGAGTAATGAAGAGAATCTTTGTTCACCTGTTCAGGTGAGACGCCCAGTCAGTCACAAACACTGTGCTGCGCTCTGATTGGTGCGTTGGAAATTATTGAATGTTGTGATTGGTTCAAACGGCTGTGTATCTCAAAAATGAGAACGTTAAAATACCTGAATTGGTAAATACTAAAAAGCAAAAATGCATTTAAACCTTGCGGTATGTCTGTTAGCATATGTATCTTATCATACTGTGGATCAGTTAAACTTCTTCATCTAGATCTCTGTTGCATTTTGTAACAAAAATTGAATAGCTATATTTTTTATATAGCCCATGATAGTTTTTTTTTTTTTAATATCTCTGAAAAGTGCTTGTCTTGAATATATTCCAATTTGTATAGCTAGTGCATAAATAATATACAAATGTGGAAATCATTAAAAATGCTTGTGCCTTAGGCTATACTAAATAAAATTAACAATTAAAATGCAACTATAAGACAATCACTATGATTAAATAACATGTTAATAAGTCTTCCTGTAGTTTCTTTGATCATCGTTACACTGTTAGTTTTGTATTATGACACAGTAGATTTTTTTTAATCTTTATATATATAACTTAACTGTCTATATTACTTGTATAACAGTCTGGAAATATAAAACTCATCCTCACTGGTGCTATTCCCCACTATGGTGGGAAAACCAGAGTTCTTCAAGGGCAAGAAGAGTCAATCAAATATGCATTTATGTTATACAAGTAGACTTTAATCTGATGTGAAAACGACTGACTTCATTTAAGCACAAACTGTACTGTAGCGGTTTCTGCAGTATCAGTAGCATTGATTAAGTAATAAAATCAGTGTAATGTGATCAGACACAACCTATTAAAAAGAAACAGACTCAACACTACTGGGCAACAGTCTTAGTTCTGGTTGAGATTTGTTCATTGCTTTAATTCAGTCTAATTCGATTCTTTGTGGTTTATTTTTACGAAAAACATAGGTGTTTTTTACATTCTGATTTTACTATATAAGGGCTATTAGGGAATTAAGTTAAGATAAAACCAAATACTAAGATTCATGTGTTTTGGGTTGAGTTTTGAGTTTTCTGATTGAATTAGATTTATTGTAATCTCCTTCATTAAGGAATCTCTCTTTTTTTTTTTCTTAAAACAGAATATTTAAGGATCATTCTAATTTATCCTGGACTAAGCTGTTAAATGGTAATGCATGTATTAATCACATGATAACTGTTCCAAAACCACGTTTCCCATGTGCAAACTATGTTTTTCACTTGTGAAATTTGTGTGTTTTTTGTAAGGGCTGGTCTAATTGGATTTTTTATATTTTTCTCTACCTGAATTACTCTCTTTGAGGTTTTGAAAGTGGAACTAAGAAAATCAATATTCTTTAAAAGACTAATAAATGATAAACAGACAGATCTGGATTAGCGCCAGGTGTGGAAATTTCTACTGTTAATGATTAATCTCTGCTTTTAAAGTGCAGTCACACTAGATCAGGGGTGTCTAATCCTGCTCCTGGAGGACCACTGCCCAGCAGATTTCCACTCCAACCCCAATTAAACACTCCTGAACCAGCTAATCAAGCATACGAGCCTTCCAGGCAGGTGCGTTGAGGTAAGTTGGGGCTAAGCTCTGCAGGACAGTGGCCCTCCAGGACCCCTGTACAATAATTGGAATTGTAACAAATCTAAACCACAAAACACCCTAATTTACTGTACATACAAAAGTTTGAAGTCAGAATGATTTTTGAAATCATGTCTTATGCTCGCGAAGTCTGCATTTATATGATCAAAAATACAGTGAAAACAGTAAAATTGTGAAATAGGCTATTAATACAGTTTTTTCACTATCATTACTCAGTCTTTATTCGTTTGAAATGGAAACTTTTCTAACATAGTCTTTACTGTCACTTTTGGCCAAATGAATGTGTCCTTGCTTAGAAAAAATGTTAAAGTCCCCGTGAAATCAAAATTGAACCTATTTACTTTGTTAGCGCATATTACTAGTCTTGTGGTGAACAATTAATCCATGCAAGTGAATATATATTAAAAAAATGTTTTACCTTAGTAATCTTTAATCAAAATCTGAAAAGTTACTTCCGGTCTGGAACGGTTTCTTTTTCTGATGACGTAGGCTTCACAGTTTGGGTGGGGAAACGCTTAACCACTCCCCTCAAACCGTTAGTTTGCTATGAGCGAGAGATGGAGAGGAGGAGCGCTAGAGTAAAACCCTGCCCTCTGTTCAATATTCCGTTTCACTTGGAAATACGTCACAGCACTGGAGAAAAATCGTTTGCAACTTCCGGTTCACGGGGACTTTAATTCCTTTTAAAAACTATTCCCCAAAAGTTTGAATGGCGTTGCTACTTAAATCATCATATAAGTTGCATAATCCTGATGCCATTCATTGCAATGTCCAAAGTAATTTTGCATGCTCAAAGTCTAGTGAGACCACACCTTTAGAGAGCCAACCCAATGTCCAGGCTGGGTCACACTCGTTGAGCACGAACCTGTCAGTGACGTTTAAATGGCTGTGATTTTATTACGATTATCCCTCCCTTGATATAAGGGGAGGATTTTGAGTCAATGTCACTCACTATCTTGTTGTAACTCTTAATTGCTTCATGCTTGCATTGCTCATTCTTGCTTTTCTCTCTTGTCTGATCTTAGGTGCTGGAAACCATGGATCTCCTCACCTCCAAATCCCAGCGTTTTCCTCTGCTGCTCCTCATTGCTCTATTCATTCTTCCTGGATCACTAGCACAGACTTCGATCCCCAAGGGCTGTGCCGCTGATGTGGACTCCTTGTATTTCAATCTGTGTGACCTGAGTGCTGTCTGGGGTGTTGTAGTGGAGGCATTTGCCGCTGCTGGTTTGGTGGCCACCCTGATTCTTCTGATCGTGCTGCTAGCCAGCCTTCCCTTTATCACTAGCAGGAATTGGCGCAGTTCCTTGGGGCTTCACGCTGTGTTCCTGATCTTCACGTTTGGACTGTTCGCCCTCACGTTCGCCTTCATCGTCGGGAAGAACTTCGCCACGTGCGCGTCACGCCGCTTTCTGTTCGGGGTGTTGTTCGCCGGCTGCTTCTCGTGCCTTCTCATGCAAGCCGTGAGGTTGAACATACTAGCCAGGAGGAACTCTGGGCCTAGAGGTTGGGTTTGGTGTTTGGGTGCTCTGGGACTCTGGCTGGTGGAAGTTGTCATCAACACAGAATGGCTAATTATTACAATTGTACGATACCCGACTAACATTACCGGAACCCTCGCTCCTGCCACTGCTGTTCCCTGTAACATTGAAAACCAGGATTTTGTCATGGCGCTCATATATGTTCTAACTCTACTCTTGACAGTCGTAGTGGCATCCTTACCCATATTGGCAGGTAAGCACAAGCGTTGGCGCAAAGATGGAGCCCTCATCCTGGTCACAGGACTGTTTTCGGTGGGCATCTGGGTGGCTTGGATTGTCATGTATGTGTACGGGAACTCAAAGAATGGTGGGCCAACATGGGATGACCCAACACTGGCTATAGCACTGGTGTCAAACGCATGGGTGTTTCTGCTGTTCCACACTGTGCCGGCGGTGTGCAGCCTGAGTGAGGTAGATGACGATCCAGCTGTTGAGGAAGAGCTGTACCCCAGCAGAGGTTACGAGACCATTCTGAAGGAACAAAGCACACAGAGTATATATATGGAGAACAAGGCCTTCTCTATGGATGAACCCCATGCAGGTAAATGCAAGCTTTTGAGCTTTTATTTTGTATTCATCCTAACTTTATTATCTTTGCTTTAAAGGGATACTCCACTTTTTATGGAAATAGGCTCATTTTACAACCCCCCCAGAGTTAAACAGTTGTGTTTTACCGTTTTCAAATCCAGACGATTTTCTAATATTTATAAGAATATCAGTAACCAGACAGTTTCTGGCCTCATTGACTTCCATAGTATATTTTTTTTCCTACTATGGTAGTCAATGAGACCAGAAACTGTCTGGTTACTGATATTCTTCTAAATATCAGAAAATCGGCTGAATGGATTAGAAAACGGTAAAACTCAACTATTTAACTCTGAGGGAGTTGAAAAAATGAGCCTATTTCCAAAAAAAGTGGAGTATCCCTTTAAAGTTAATACACAAGCTAGTATTTATTAGGGATCCATAATATATATATATCTGTGATAATATTATCAGGAAATATTAGTGTTTTTATCAGCGTCGGTCTAATTAGACTGATATTGGAACCAGATAAGGGCTTTTTCCTATGCCAGAGATAAAATGTCCTACTGTACATCTATTTATTTTTATTTTTTTATTGAGGTTCTGTAATCAGGTTAAATATTGTGTATTTTTCCGTTCTTTAAAATGTTATTGGTTATCTGCTAAAATGTGTATACACTACAATTTTAAACTTTGGGGTTAATATCAATACATTTAAAATAACTTTGTACTCTTACTACATTTTAATATATAATGTAATTTTATTCCAAAGCTGTGATTTTCAGCATCATTACTTCAGTTTTCAGTGTCACATGACCCTTCAGAAATCATTATAATATGCTGATTTGGTGCTCAAGTAACATTTCTTATTATCTATATTTAAAACAGTTGTGTTGCTTAATATTTTTGTGTAGACTGTGTTAGGATTCTTTGATGATTATTTTCTTTAGTACCATTATAAATGTCTTTACTGTCACATTTGATGATTCAGTTTATTAAAAGGACAGTAAAGACATTTATAATGATTTTATTTGTGATCAGATTATATAATGTTTCTAATAGCAATTTTCAATTGACAGATGCAATCCATTTAACTTCCGTATAAGTATTCTGATAGCTAGCTATACAGTAAACAAGACGTACTATATTTGGCCTGTATGAGAAAACTGACTGTAGCCGAATGTTTACACCCACAAGCACTGAGTGTAAAGTATACTTGTTATACATTATGGGTTATGACATATTTTAGAAAAAAAGTGTCTGAAATCAGGCCTTTTAAAGCTAAAAGTTCAGGTTTCACATGTATCGTAGGCCTAAGGTGGTGCTAATGCGTATTAGAACTGTTCAGCCGAACATCATGAAAATCATTCAGAGTATTTTAAAGGATGGATTCTCAATTCCCAACTTTAATTACAGTTTATGGATCTGAAACTTCTTTGACGTTTTGTACAGGCATGTAACCTTACACCTCTAGTTTATGCTGTTTCAAAAGCTCCATCCAGTGATTACAAATTAAAGTAATTCTGCCTGCCAATTTTATAATTCAGAAACCCAATATGTCTGTGTGTGTTGACATACTTAAAAGAGAGGGAACGTGTGACTTTGAGAGAGGACAAAGCTGCAGAACATGCTGGAACAGGACTGAATTTCACAATAACTGCTGCTTACACCACTGAATTTGATATGCTGATGTTTGAATCCACACAGTCTAATATCTGATGGTACCGCAGCGAACATGCTGTTCATCCGTCCTCTCTTCCTCTTTCTTCTCCTCTCTGTCTGTCTTCTCACTCTCTGTCTGTTTCTCTCTTTGCACCTGCTTGTTTCCTCTGGCCAAACATGCAAATATCTTTTCTGCCTTTTGATGTCCATAAGGTTGGACCGCAGGTAGCTGAGAGTTTCCATGTATTCAGAACTGTCTCAATCTTTTCTATTATAAATCAACAATATCCGACTGTGTTTACTCAACCAATAACTGCTTTACTCTACAGTTCCATACTGTATATTCAATAATCTATCAATGACGTACCATAGGAATAACATTTCCATGTGCATCAATATTTGCATATCGTTTGAGGTTTTGTGAAGTAAAAGGAATGCGTCAGTTTGTATTGAACTGGGAGTGTTTGGAAAGTTCAGGAGTCATATCTCACTAGTAAATGAATACCCAGAGCAAAATGGAAGACCTCTCCCACCCTGGCATGAGTCAATATGAGAACACATATAGACCCTGAAGCATGTGTTTACATTAGCATGTGTCCATGGAGACCGAGGTGTGGCAACAGTATCATCAGTATTTCACAGAGCAAGAGGACATTTCTGTCCCAGTGCATCAGTGCAACCTTATCAAACCATAGTGTGCGTTTAAGATAACTTGAGATATTTGTTATAAAAGAAATCCGTATATCTTGTGGTTATTAAAACATAACATTATTTTATTGTTGTGCTTGTCCTCCAAAATAAGTGAATCAAGTGTGTTTAAATTCTATATAATATAAAAAGTCTATATGTGTGTATATACACACACACACACACACACACACACACACACACCAAGGCTATTTGATCAAAAAAATATCATTATTATCATCAATTGAAAACGTGCTGCTTAATATTTTTCTGGAGACACAAAAGAAAAGTATTTAGTTGAAATATTTAGTAACATTATAACTTTTGGTCAATTTAATTCATACTTGCTAAATAAAAGTATCCATAAAGAAAAAAAACTAGGGCTGTCAAAGGATTAATCACAATTAATTGCATCCAAAATAAAAGTTTGTGTTTACATAATATATGTGGGTGCACTGTGTATAATTTTTTGTATATATATATAAATACACACACATGCATGTATATTCAAGAAAAAAAAATATTTATATATAAAATATTTATATTTATGTATAATATAAATTATATATAAATCTATATACAGTATATACATGGAAATATTTCTTAAATGTATACAAGCATGTGTGTGTATTTATATATATGTATATATATATATATATATATATATATATATAAAATAATTATACACAGTGCACTCTCATATATTATGTAAACACAAACTTTTATTTTGGATGCGATTAATCGCGATCAATCGTTCGACAGCCCTAAAAAAAACTTACTGATCCTGAACTTTTGAACAGTAGTGTAAATTCAAATATTACATAAATATGCTAAATATATATTACAAAGTAACAAATGTGAAATAAACTATTATAATAATGTTTTGGGGGAAACAGGTTATCACATTTATTGCATACAGCTTTGCCATTTTTGTTCTCTGAAGTATTTGTATAAGGCATGTCATGAAAGGTTGTATTCAAGTCCAAACATTTAACATCTTTAAATATTTTGTTCTCAGGTAATAAGCCTGTGTCCCCATATGGCGGCTATAACGGCCAACACCGAAGTATATATCAGCCGACAGAACTGGCTATCATCACCAAAGGAGTGAGGAATGTGAGTGCACATATTTTACTACTGATTTGACTATGCATACAACCACCGAGTCTTGTGGTCCCTGTTCACAAACATGAAATGAAAGAGAGCTACAATAGAAAAGTCCACATCTTATTTCAATGTCATAGATCTGAATGTTTTTGTGCATTTGTGTGTGTTCACCTGCCATATCTATTTGGACTGTGTTTTCGGCTGTAGCCACAGGGGGAATCGTATGACAATATAATTCCACGAGCATCCGTAGGCACTCAACCCGGAGACCAAAGCGGTCACGCCAGCCCCTCAACACAACTTGATGATATGAGATTTTCAAATGTACGTGGGGAGCATTAGCAATGCTGTGTTTGTATGCTTTGGGTCTATCCAGTCTGTCGCTCTTCACTTTCACCTGCCTTCCTTCCTCTAACCGAATATAAATACAAAGAAAAATGATGATTATATGTACCATTCATATGTGGCAAACTCAATTGTTTTTGGGACCTGTAAACATCAAAAGTTTGTCAAGCTGTTAAACCATTAAAATGACGGATTTTCTAATTGAAGCTCATAATCACCCACACAAAACATCCTTCAACTTGAACTTGAATTTTCTTCTCAAATTTCCTGGTCTCGCCTCGCACTTGACTTTATCATCTCTCTCAATTACACACGTCCGTGGGGAATTCTTCTCTCTTTGTCTTGTCAGTCATTCTTTTGAGATCTGCTTTCATTAATGCACTTGGTGACTGTTGCCTTCTGTCTGGAATAGAGGAATTTAAAGGCCATTTTAAGAATTTCTTTGTTCGTGTTTGTTTCTGTTTGTTTGTGTTGTTAATTATGATTATTTTCATTTTTTATGAAGGTATGAGGGGGTGGATGAGGAGATCAAATCTATTAAACTAAACTGTATGTTTTCTGGCTTTTCCTATTTTCTTTTCTTTTTTAAAATCATTTAATTACTGTTTTTCTCACCTCTGTTACATGAGGGATCTGTGTATTCTCTTATAGACCTTGGTCTGGTTAGTCGCCATATTGAATTTAACATGCAAACAAGGCTGTGAAGGATAGATGCATAGCAAGCACTGAAGGTCCTAGATCATATAATTTTCAACTTTCAATGACAAAGATGTACTAAAAATGGATAAGGTTTTCCTTTGTTTTGTTTTTTTTTTTCGCATACAGACAACAACGTTTTCAAAATGATCCCACACGGTTCCACGAAAATGACTAAAACGCTGTATTATTCATGCCAGGCCTGAGCGCCTAGACTGGTTTCACAAATTCACATTTTTTTTGTTTACATGGAGGCAATAATAGTATTGTTTTCAAAAACTTTCACTTTAAAAAACAATTTCAAAGTATGCAACAACACAAATGTTGTTGTGTAAATAGCCCCTTTGTCTACTAAAAGTTTTATTTTTCAATGTTGAATGTTGTCAAACAACATTACAATCCATTGAACGCACTGTTCTTCTATCCCTCACTGCCTTGTTTTCATTCCTATTAAAACTTAAATAAGGCGCTTGCCTGATTGAGGTCTATTGCCATTTCCTATTTCTGTCAAAAAATCACTGTTAAAATAAACCTTACACATAAATTATATTATTTGTATTTGTTTCTTAGATGTACTTTAAAAAAAAAAAAAATTTTTAATGTTGATCCCAGAAATGTAATCTAATGTTTCCTCTACTTCTCTCTGTAGGGAAATTTCAACAGAAGACCCCAGTAATCTGCTTACGCCAGTTGTTTTTTCCCCCCCCCCTGGTGTTTCTAAATTAAGATTTGTGATTTTGTTTTTCTTTCCATCGCTGTGGTCGACTGCATAGACCAATGTGAGTGAACTCAGAGTAACTGAGCAACATTTTGTTTGCTCTACTGAAAGACAATGTGTTGGGTGATCTCAACCTGATTGAATCGTTGAAGATGTGCAATTGTACGGTATGTTTTGTTTGTGTATGGGGCGCGTTAAAAAAGATTACTTGTACCAATGATTGCATAGACTACTGCAATGTGTTTACTAAGAAAGCACAGATGAGCAAAGGACTGTAAAATAAATGTGTGCTGGTTTTCTGTCTCTCGTCCTGTAAATGGAGTTCTGACATGCTGCTTCTATCACTGTAAATATTGGACACCATACATTTGCATAAACCTTAATTTTCATATATCAAATATTAGCAATGTGCAATCTTTTAGGTGCAGCAACTGGATTTATGACTATTTTATTATTTTCCCAACTTTGTATTTATTGTCAATGTACAAAGAAGCATTACACTCAATCTGAAGAGAATATCTTTGTAATGATTCTGTTGATTAATGTACAGTATATATTAAAATTTCACTGAATGGGAAAATCAGTTTGAAAGGATATTTATTAACTCATCTTGCTGTAGTTGCAAACAGCTTACTGTGTGAAAAAATACATTTTTTAAGTTCTGAAATGTCATTGCAAGACTGATGCAGGGACATCATTGGGATAACTTCCCAAAGGGAAGTTAGTTCAAATGGAAAATTCTCTAAACCCTAACCAGTCATTACATTTACATAGATACTGATGATAAGTTTTTAGATATGTCAACCTGAGCTACAGGGTTCCAGATGGAGGGTTGTTAAAGGCGGCCAATACATCAACACATGACCAAAGCATGGAACATATCGTTTTTATTTTTGTTTTATAACTCTATTATATGAATTAATGACCTATGTCACCTTTATTTATATAACGCTTTATACAATACGTATTGTTTCAAAGCAGCTTGCAGTGATAAACAGGGAAATGATGATTCAATTATGCAAATAGAGTTAAATAAAGCAGCTCTAAATAGAAAATACTGTCATTGTTCAGCTGAGGTAAGTTCAGAGTGGATCAGTTCGAGTTGAAGAAATGAATACTTTGTTTATTTAAAAAAAAATACTTTAATTCAGCAAGGATGCATTAAATTAATCAAATGTGACATTAAAAACATTATATATTTGAAATAAGGGCTGTAATGTTGAACTTTCTATTCATTATACGATTTCACAATGAAATAAATGGCAGGTTGTTTTTTGGGAAGCAATGCTGATCAATTGAGTGTAGCTTTGTTTTTTGAGTTTTTGCATAGTTGCTTTTTATTCCAGTAAATCTATATGCACATTGTCAGTGGTTTTATATTCAAATAAATATATTTACTTATATACGGAAGTGTACAACGAAATAAACATTTACCTATGCAAATGTACCTCCAAATGCATTGTTTGAGGTTATCAATGCACATCTGCCTCCACACAATGAAAGTCAATAGGGTCCAATTTTTTTATACTTCAGTGTTGTTCAAAACGTCATCTTACATTCTAATATACAAGTTTGGAGTGAGTAAATTATGACTTTTTTCCATTTTTGGTTGAACTAGCCCTTTAAATATCCTTCCCTACATCCTCACCAGCATCATGTCTTAGCCTACGTTTCATTCTGGCAGAGATTTCCAAGCTAAATTCACATTAAAAACACAAACTACCTTCTCAGTTTTATGGTATAAAACATGATTTAGGATGCGTCTGCAGTTTCTTGACTGTCATTGGGGCAGACAAGTTCACCCCGGCTGCCTTCTTGGATGTCTTCCCTGCAGCCGTCCCGACATGTATCAAATGTTGAGCGCTGCCGGTAAAATCTACATGCTGAATCTATAGGTAATATGATAAGCATTTTCTCCTCACATTGAGAGCACAAAGTGCAGCGTATTTAAGGAGAAAGCCGTCCTTGAGACACGAGCATCTTTTCTCCAATGACAAAGCTAAAATGTTTGCAGCTGTTTGTTTTTCTATTCCAAAAGGACATTTGACACATTAAATGAATGAGTAGGTCTTAATGGTGGTGATGGTGCAGTGGGTAAGACACATGCCTTTGGTGTGAGGGACCCGGGTTTGAATCCACTATGAGACACTTAGTTGCTCCGGAGGCGTGCGACCTCTGACATGTATAGCAATTGTGAGTCGCTTTGGATAAAAGTGTCAGATAAATGAATAAATGTGTTTCAGACGTATACGTTTTCCTCATTTTCATCAACTTGGCTAAATTATGTAATCTATCTAATGTAAATTAATTGTTTGCAATTTGGCAGCAAACATTTCACAAGACAAGTTGATTTCGATTTGCCACCGGTCAGACTGAGACATCTTCAAGACTGTCAAAGTTTAGGAGCACATCATTTTTCGATAATTTCTGGTTAAGACTTCATTCCAAAAACCAGGATGTGATAAGAATATTTTAACATAAACATGAATGTATTTTGTCCATAAACAACTCCTAGCCACCTAAACCAGGCTCAGAACTTTAATATGTTATATTTTGGATATTAATCAGAATTGTGTTGAGCATGTAATCTCAAATCTCACATAAAATGGTGATATATTATTTGCCCGTAATGATCAGTGGCCAACTTTTTCATTTTCACAATGTTGCAAAAACACATCAAAAGGATACATGATTTAGCATTAATCTTTGTATTAGTAGAAAACCTGTAGTATTTTCGAATTACCATGCTTTCCACCCTCATACCCCCCCATGGGATCTCACTCACAGAATGAACACATGTCAGCCATCTTTTTTGGAAGCTAAGCTAGCAGGCTCTTGTGGAGAAAGCTGAGTAGTAGGGGTTACCATCCTCTTTTTCCCCGCACATGTCCGGCCGTCGTTGTACGGGATTCAGCTTTTGCTTTCTGCAGTCACCATTCATTGTTTACAGCTTTTGTTTCAATCTAACTGAATTCATTCCGATTGGTGAATCTATGTAGTTTTTACTTGAACGCTAAACAAGTGATCAGTCAATGTGCATTTTACCATTGCTAAGAAAATTCCCGCTCCAGATAAGAGACTGGTGCGTCTCACAGGTGTCGCTCATCGGTAATTACGCCACCGGCCTCGCGCCGTTCTCCCGCGGCCCTCACTCGTCCTGCTCGCCACTGTAAACCTAATGAATGGCGACTGTAGAACGCAAAAGCCGAATCCTGGACATTTTGGGCGATCTCGAAACACATTTTCGGAAAGACTCATCACAGAGACTCACTAGTAGCCTAGACTTGTTGTTTAACTACTGCGCTCCACTACCAGTAGGCGTGGCCACATAGGACAGCGAAGCAAGTGCATTCTGGGAGTTGTTGTCTTTCATCCATCCAAAAATATATTTTCTGGCTTTTCTCAGTCTAGAAAGCTCTTTCAAAAATAATTTCACATTTCTTCTACATAAATGACCCATTTTAAATACACATTCATCTTTCCAGAGGTGAAGTAGCCTATCCCTTTAAATGGGTTTAACAAAGCAATTCATTACAGGAACAGTTTTTTTTTTTTTCAATTGAAATGGCTGGAATCATTCCTTCAGGGCATGTTCTATATAAACCTGAAATAAACTCAAGACGAAACTAGATCTGTTTTCAAACAGATTTGCATTATCTCGAACCGGCTGTTTTCACCCGGAAAAAAGTCTTTTTACAGAGATCCATGAGTTGTCTGGTTTATGCACACAGCGCTTATTCATACTGACTCACCCTTTAAACAATTGTAATATTCTGTATTATGCAATCTTCATTCTTTACCAAAGAACTTCAAAAGACTGACCCTTTGTCAAAGTTCAAGCGATAGAAAAACAAAGGTGTAAAATGTGACCTAACTGGGCATGTCGTGTTTGCAAAGTGTCCTTGACATTATAGTTAAAGCAATTGTTGGAAAACATACAACCCAGTAAACCAGAACTAATTCATCTGCAAACTCCCGTTCACCTCACAGTTCATCAAACACACCCAGTGACTCATTTATAAAGTGCTGCCTTCAAGCTGAAAGAACATAGATGAATAGAAGCTGCTACACTGTATTTTTAAGTGTTTTTAAAGTGATATATATGTCAGCAGCTACTGCTAAATTAGACTCTGGTCAACATTAGCTGAATGTGTGTGCATGGTGACTGATGTGTCGCATCGAAAACGTATCTTAAAGTGTCCACTCTTCTAGGGGCTTTGAAAATCACACCAAAAGTCTGCATGAGATGAAAATATACCTTTTAAATGCATATTATTGACCTCCCAGCGAAAAGTCATGCGTCTCCAAATTGTGTTACAAATTTGAAGTTGATACCACAAAAATAGAACCCGTTATAAGGTTTTAAAGGACTTCCCACTGGGACTCTGACAGTATAGGCTAATTTATGGCAAAATAAATTTGTTGTGAAACAAACCACATAAAAATGAGCACAAATAATTCATTTGAACTTCTGAGGTATACTGTACAAAACTACTTGTTTTGAATTTTGAGCACATCTTTTATTGATTTGTTAAAAAATAAGTAGCAATTCACTGTAATTTTTTTATTTTTTTTTTAATCACCTTGGATGTTAAAGCTACACTGTGATTTTTACCCCTATCTAGCGATGAAAAGATATATGACATCCAATGAATATTAGTTTCTGTTCCTCTCAATTCCGATTTTGTTTTAACTCCTACGGTGGCCAATGCAGTCCAAGATTAACATGGCTTCCAGTTCGACCTCGTCCATGAGTGTTATCTCAAACGTAAACGCGAAAGGCGAAGCTTGAATTAACGGGTATGTCCCTCTTTGGCTAATGTACTTTCAAGGCTCCTAAAGCTAAGGAAACTCATTTTAAAATATTAAATGGAGTATACCCATCTAGTGAATTCTTAAGACAACGGTTTAATTTTGAAGAAAATGCCTGTACTTTTTGTCAAGTTGACATAGAGACAACTGATCATCTTTTTTTTTCTTGTGTTTCGTCAACTATTTTTTGGGAGAATATGTCTTATTGGTTGGAATCAAAGATTCAATCACTGCCTACTTTTGCCAGAAAACATATTATGTTTGGAATACTATTGAACGAGAAAAGAAACGAATTTCTTGTTAATGTAATGTTGATACTGGGAAAATTTTTTATTCATAAATCCAAATGTATGAAAACTAAACCCTATTTTTCTGTATTTAAAAAAGAATTGATTTGTAATTTTTTTCCAGCTTTGGAATGTATGAAAAGTAAAAAGGCCCAGAAATTGACTGGAATTATAAGAGACCTTGAGCTTGTAGAAGAGGAATAAAGTGACCCCTTTGTAATTTATTTTTTATTATTTATTTATTTTTTTTATGTTTGTTTTCTTCATTGTAATTATTTTTATTTATTTATTTTTACCTTAAGTGATATGTGCCTTGCTTAATACTCATTTACCTGTATTTGTCAATGCCACTGTAGATGTATATTCTATTCTATTTTTGTTTTGTTCTTATTGTTCAATAAAAAAAAATAAAAAAAATAATGTACTTTCAAGATGGAGGGGTAACATGGCGACCGACATTAGAACCTCACCCGTATGTATT